ACAGCCGTGACTCGGTCAGAAACAGCCGTGACTCAGTCAGAAACAGCTGTGACTCAGTTAGAAACAACTGTGACTCGGTCAGAAACGGCTGTGACTCACCTTGATCAGCACTGTGTCGGGAGCAACAGGTGGTTCCTGAACGATGAGCGGGTCTTGGGACTCTTTGAGAGAAAAGCTCTGCAACATGAGAGACCTGGAAGGCCGAAACTCTTCTTTCCACCACCACAAAGCCATTCCCACCAGCAGCATACTGAGGAACACTGGGAAACACACATCAAACCTGGATTTATCTCTGCAGAGCTGGCAGAATAAGAACACCGATGGAAAATTCATACAAGAGGTCAGCCACCTACTCTGGGGTGCAAAACATGACGGAGCAGAGGGATAATTTGGAAAAAATGTCTGAAAGTCTGCTTCGACTCATTAAAACACGCTCTCCTGTTAATGTAATGTTTTACAAGAACTTCTAAGGAAACTAAACATACTAAAAATGTGCACGGGGACACGGAAGCAGATCCTGTTTTATACAAAAGCCAAATTTATTTGCACATTTCTACATGTATTTCCTTTATGTTCACTTGGTTGTAAAAAAAAAGTGCCAACGTTTACAACAAGCACATCTATTAAACATCTGTTTTAATGTGCATCATCAAAGGATTACCTCCCACGTCACGGCGCACTTTGGGCTACTTGTTAGAAGGAAGTAAACAAACTGAAGTGGACCGAGGAGTTAAATACATGCCAATATTTAAACTGTCACTTTGTTTAAGGACATCAAAATATTTGTCGTTTCTACATTAACAATTTCATCTTAACTTGTGATGACGTGTGTGTGTGTGTTAAATATTAGGAGAGATGTTCTTACTGATTAGAGACAAAATTCCAGCAAACGTGGCATCGGACAAAGTTGATGCAGGAACTGTGCGGGAGATCACTGGAGTTTCCGTTTTGTTAAGTCTCGTTTCTGCAGATTTGCAGCTGAATCGAAGTTTTTCAGGCCGCAGGTCGACGACACATTTGTGTTGACACGTTGTGCCTGGACGTCCACAAGCAGAGGGACCTTAAGCAGCGAATATTGTTGAGAGTTAATGAGGTTCCACCAGCCTGCCTAGTCACAACAACTTTGACTGAACAAGTTGTCTTTAACAGCAGAATTATCATATCGATACGTAAATGTAGCTCATGATGGGGGTGTACCGTCTGGTTGAAGCACAGGGTGAATGATGGCCACACCGCCTGGTGAGTTGATGTTCGACAGGAAGACCTGGAAGTTTCTGCTCCTGCGCTTGTTGGCACGGCAGATGGAGCGCGTCACCTCATCGCTCCAATATACAAATCCCTAATGCACAGAATTTTAAAAAACAACTGGTGTTGCACAACACACGTTTATAACTTTTAATAAAGTTCTGTATCGTTGCATCTGCACACATTAAAGAAGTTCTAGGTCTCGTTCAGGCCCAACAGTAACATCCAACCTAGGCAATCTAATCACACCTGGACATTGCTCAAACAGGTGAGAACGCTCTCGGAAAAAAAACGGAGGAAGGACTCGGACTTATTGACAAAAATGGATGAAGCCATATTGTATTATTGGAGCCAGAGTCTTTGCACTAAAGATGTGTAGTTGTGTCACTGAGAAAGTCCGGTCTACACTCTCCCAACTCATCAACAGACTGTCAGCTTCACAGTAACAGAACAATTTTCTTAAAGCCTCAACGAATTTAATCAAAGTGTGTTCTAAACATGCATAACATACAGCAGCAAGGTAAGAACTACACAAATCAACAGCTGAAAAATGATCTGAAGTGTACTTTTATTATCTAGTAATAAAAAAAGGTCCTACAGTCTCTTTAGGAGTCATCAGGACTCTGTATCACAGAGCAGACAGCATCCCCACTAGCTCAGGAGCCAGGCAGAAGGAGAAATCCTACACAAAACAGGCTCTAGAGCAATGTGGATATCCTAACTGGGCCTTCCTGAAAGCAGAGAAGAAACCCAAACAGGACTCCAGTCAGCCATCAGGTGAAAAGGAGGAACCCAGACCCAGACCAGTGGTCATTCCATATGTTGAGGGGGTATCAGAGAAACTGAGACGTTTATTTTCTAAACATAACGTCCCAGTGGCTTTTAAACCCCAAAATACATTACGGCAAAGACTGGTTCATCCCAAAGATCCAGTCCCCCGGCACAAACAGAGTAATGTTGTGTATGCTGTTCAGTGTCAGGAGGGCTGTGATCAGTCTTACATCGGGGAAACTAAACAGCCACTGGCCAAAAGGATGGCCCAACACAGAAGATCAACATCATCAGGCCAGGATTCTGCGGTCTACACTCATCTCCAGGCCAGCGGTCACTCTTTCAAGGATGAAGATGTTCACATCCTGGACAGAGAGGAACGATGGTTTGAGAGAGGAGTAAAGGAGGCCATCTTTGTGAAAAGAAATCGTCCATCATTAAACAGGGGTGGAGGCCTCCGGGTTCAACTGTCCCCCTCTTACAATGCTGTGATTGCTAGTATCACTCAGCCCTCTGTGAGTAGTAAACAGCCATCAGTGTGCTAATGACCCATTGTTAGGCTGATGGTCCTTCTTGAGCATGTGATCAGCTGGTTTTGGTTATCAGCAGCAAACTGGTTGATCCACTCTAAGAAGGTGCTATTTAAGAGACTGAGCTGAAAACAGCACCTCAGACTGAGGAAGTCTCTTGGATGAGAGACGAAACGTTTCTAGATTTCTTTTGCTTTGTTTTGCTTTTGTTTTTTTGAATGTCCAGAGGACCAGATTGAACTTTTTTGGATTTTTCTACCTGGATTATTGAGCATGCATCAGGATACAGTCTCTTTAGTTGAAGGTGCAGTCCTGCAGCCTGCCACTAGGGGGCGCTCGTCTTTAACTTCCGGTTCTATTTTTAGTTGATGCTTAAACTACAATCAGAGGCGGATGATATTTTTCAGTCGTAACAGCTGTGGTATTTCCTCATGTCTCACAGTTCAAAACAATTTATAAACAGCTCGATCAGATGCAGATGTTGGTTAATTACAGACGAAGAAACAATTACCCGTGGGAATTATTTAAATGCAGGGCTCCTTTTAGAGGAGGAGACAAAAGTTTAAAATGTACCAACTGTTGAAATTCTTGCCAATAAATAGATTCACCTGCTTATTCAAAGCACTTTTGTTTACAAGAAAGTTGTGTTGAAAACTGCTGGAAGCCTACTGGTATGTGAAGGCAGTCCATCATAAAAATCTAATTATTTTATGCTATTTTACTTTTCTCATCAGTTAAGACTCCATAATTAAACTTAAAAGTTGTGCAAAACACAAATATGACTCTGAATTGTGTTATGTCAAAACGACGATGTCATTCAGGTATTTGTGAGTTGACAGAAACACGTGTGGATCTGCTGAAGCCCTGCTCAGTGCACAGCTCGTTGTGTAATGTGGCTGCGTGTTTAATTGCATGTGGAGCGGGTGACTGACGTCAGATCAGTCAGGGCAGATTTTGCTTCCAGGAGTGAACGCTCGCATTTAAAGCGGCCCAACTTGTGATCAGATCAGAGCAGGACGCACGTTAGTGCCAGGTCTGAACAGAACCCCAGTTTGCAGTCATTTCATTACATTCCTGTTTAAAAAGGGACACCGTCATACCTCAAACACAGCGAGTCCAAGCAGTCGGTCCAGATAGCCGTTGGACTCTACCACTATTTTACGGTGGCGACCCTCTAGACTTACTCTGGAAATGCTCCTCATTCCCTGATCAAACCAGTAGAGCAAGTGCCGAGGCACATCTACAGGAAACACATCAACATGTATAAGTTTACAGCAACACTGTGTGGATTTGAAGCATGCACTGGAAGTGTTTAAATACATGTGTTTGTTTCTACTTTTCGAAAGGGAAAGCTGAATTCTTTAAACTTCTATTCAAAGTATGGGGTAGATTTCTTAGACGTGAAACAGGACTACGTTTGTCTCTTATTAGGAATGTCTGAACTTACCCAAAGACAAGGCGACGGGCTGTTTTATCAAGGATGTGACTAAAACCATCCTGTTGTGGCCGTCCAAGCCGGCCCTCTCAATCTTTGGAGTACTGCCACATTGAGCCCAGAAGAGAAACCTAAAAAAAATCAACTAAATGTAATTACTCTTACATTACTAATTCAACATTTTTTCTTCCCAGTTTATGATAATACAGTTTGTAATCACAGGTAATCATGTTGACATGCTTTGGTCTGAATCTAAGTGGTGTCTGTGGTCGTCCTACCCTTGGAGAGGATCCACAGCCACGGCCGATGGCTTTTGGAGCCCCGTGATGAGCTGATGCTGGGAAGAACCATCAAGCAGAGCCACATTAATGGAACCCTTCTCTGGACTGGTCCAGTACAGAAGGTGATGGATCCAGTCCACAGCCAGGCCTGAAACTGAACCTTGGACTTTTAGCACCAGCTCAGCTTCCTGTGGCTTTTTGTCTGTTGACATTCTGAAAGATCATACAGCCCAAACACACTCAAAGACAAATATGCGACACAAATAAAGCAACGATTGTGCAAAAACAGGACTAGCATCTTCCTTCTACTGTAGCAGGAGCTGATGGAGCAGCTCCAGCTCTGCTCTCTTACCTGTAGATGGAGCCTTGCCCTTTTGGGGCCCAGTAGAACGTGTGGTTAGAAGCCATGAAGGCTCCGGGACCCGAGCCAAGTAAATGTGGTGCCAGCTCATCGAAATCTGAGTCAACGAGGCTCTTTATTCGTGTTCCTTCAGACGTGGTAAAAACAATCTGAGCAGCTTCTCCTGCCAACACAGAAATTTAAAGTTTTATTTAAAGATCTCTAAAGGAAAGCAGAAATTAATCTCAGGCCAGGCATACCTTGAAGGAATAAATATTTATGTTGCATTTCAAGGCAGAGCTTTAGACTAAGATCATCTTATGATGAGAAGGGACAAAATTATGTTTGTCATTGCCTTGTAAATAACATGTACAATTTTAGACAACTCTTGAAATGTGTAGCGTTTGGAGATGCGTTCATAACGACTGTCAGCTACCATCAACTAAATTTTAGCTCAGTATCTGTAAAATGGACATTATGGTCATTATTTTCTGTTATTTAATGTAGCAGACTATAGATCATCCAGAGGAACCTTTTAGTTTTATTCATGAACTATTTGGCATGACTGTTTTTTGCTGTATAAGTCGCACCTTTTTGCATAAATTAACATGCCCTGGGACTTATACACCGAAGTGACTAATATACGTTTTTTTTCCGCATATTTATAACCCAAGTTTTGGCTGAGATCTGACGATTTCATTCATTCCGACACGGAAAATATCGAACGCTACCCGAGGGTGCTCGGCCCATATGGCAAGCCAAGTGTCTCATTAATAGGTAAAAGTGGCTATTAATGAGACACTTGGCTTGCCATACCAAGCCACCTTCGTCTCACTCTGGAACTCTTGGAGCAAACGTCAGATCAGCTGCATTTTGCCGCACCACCCAAGCGAAATGCAGCAGATTTGACCATTAAAGTGCATTTATTAAGGAAAGGTTCAACTGAGACACACCTTTACTATAATGTCGAGCAAACAAACAATTGTTTTTCTTGTTAAATTCTTGTTAAAGTCCTCCTGTGCACGCTCCCGCAGCCGCCATATGGCAGCCAATCGATTTTTGGCACAACACCGGCCCACGTGTCCAGGTGGTCAGCGGTGACGCAGAACAGATGTGACTTTATGTCGCTTCGCCATATTTATGGTTTTTTGTCCACTTTACTAGACATATTTGGACTGATGCGACATGTACGGCGGCAAGTACGGTAATCAGTTCGTGGCTCACCGTTGGCTCTGCACTCCCCGGTTGTTGGATCCATGTGGTAGCCCTCATGGCATTTACAGGTGAGGCTGTAGTTTGTGTGAACACACAGCTGATCACACACATCGCTCTCCAGGCAGATGTCCACCTCTACAGGAAGAAGCAAACGTGTTTTAAGGTCTGGGTAGTAAACATGACGCTCCCACCACCGTGCAGCTGGCCCTCACCCTCACATCGGCTGTCATCGAGCAGCTTCATGTTGTCGGGGCAGCTGCAGAGGAAACCAATCGGCTGGTCCACACAGAAATGAGAACAGCCGCCATTGTTGACCTGACACTCGTCCTGATCGGCAATATCTGCAAAATCAGACGTGTGGAGACTTGATCTGTTGTTTCTTTTTTATCTGCTTTTATTTGTCAAAAATACATATTGTAATATTATAAATACTGAATCATTTATACAAACATTAGAATAAAATGGCATAACTCATGGCTGGAACAACTTTTGCAACAGCTTCTTAAAAATGATCCATGATGGCCCCACAGAAAGTCTCACATCCACAACTTTTCCCTGTTTGTAGTCCATTCTGTACGTTTTTTTTTTCAGTTTAACTACTTCTGCATCCTTGGTGCAGTTTTACCGATTCATAAATCAAAATGTTTATATCAATCAGGAATGGTGTGTTTTGACTTTTAAACTTTTTGTAACGTTAATACTTTTTGAATCGTTGAACTTTATTTTTTTTTTAAATCTCAAATTTATTGAGATCTTGAGTTTCTTTCAAAACATTGTTCTCTGAAATCTTCAGCATACTTGCTCTAATGATATATTAGCTTTTATTTACAGACCAACTTCAGATTTTAGCTACAATTTAGCTCATTTTGGTTTTAGTCAAGGTTTCAGCTAAATTACCTTTTAGATTTGGTTTAGCTAATTTTAACATTTTGTTACAGTTGTACTCATTTAAGATTTTAACCTTGTTTTGCACATTTTAGCTTTTTGTAATGGTTTAGCTAATTTTAGCATTTTGCCTAGGTTTCAGCTATACAGGTCCTTCTCAAAAAATTAGCATATTGTGATAAAGGTCATTATTTTCCATAATGTAATGATAAAAATGAAACTTTCATATATTTCAGATTCATTGCACACAAACTGAAATATTTCAGGTCTTTAATTGTTTTAATACTGATGATTATGGCATACAGCTCATGAAAACCCAAAATGCCTGTCCCAAAAAATTAGCATATTTCATCCCACCAATGAAAGACAAGTGTTTTTAATACAAAAAACACCAACCTTCAAATAATCATGTTCAGTTATGCACTCAATACTTGGTCGGGAATCCTTTTGCATGAATGACTGCTTCAATGCGGCGTGGCATGGAGGCAATCAGCCTGTGGCACTGCTGAGGTGTTATGGAGGCCCAGGATGCTTCGATAGCGGCCTTAAGCTCATCCAGAGTGTTGGGTCTTGCGTCTCTCAACTTTCTCTTCACAATATCCCACAGGTTCTCTATGGGGTTCAGGTCAGGAGAGTTGGCAGGCCAATTGAGCACAGTAATACCATGGTCAGTAAACCATTTACCAGTGGTTTTGGCACTGTGAGCAGGTGCCAGGTCGTGCTGAAAAATGAAATCTTCATCTCCATAAAGCTTTTCAGCAGATGGAAGCATGAAGTGCTCCAAAATCTCCTGATAGCTAGCTGCATTGACCCTGCGCTTGATAAAACACAGTGGACCAACACCAGCAGCTGACATGGCACCCCAGACCATCACTGACTGTGGGTGCTTCACACTGGACTTCTGGCATTTCCTTCTCCCCAGTCTTCCTCCAGACTCTGGCACCTTGATTTCCGAATGACATGCAAAATTTGCTTTCATCTGAAAAAAGTACTTTGGACCACTGAGCAACAGTCCAGTGCTGCTTCTCTGTAGCCCAGGTCAGGCGCTTCTGCTGCGGTTTCTGGTTCAAAAGTGGCTTGACCTGGGGAATGCGGCACCTGTAGCCCATTTCCTGCACACGCCTGTGCACGGTGGCTCTGGATGTTTCTACTCCAGACTCAGTCCACTGCTTCCGCAGGTCCCCCAAGGCCTGGAATCGGCCCTTCTCCACAATCCTCCTCAGGGTCCGGTCACCTCTTCTCGTTGTGCAGCGTTTTCTGCCACACTTTTCCCTTCCCACAGACTTCCCACTGAGGTGCCTTGATACAGCACTCTGGGAACAGCCTATTCGTTCAGCAATTTCTTTCTGTGTCTTACCCTCTTGCTTGAGGGTGTCAATGATGGCCTTCTGGACAGCAGTCAGGTCGGCAGTCTTACCCATGATTGCGGTTTTGAGTAATGAACAAGGCTGGGAGTTTTTAAAAGCCTCAGGAATCTTTTGCAGGTGTTTAGAGTTACGTCGTTGATTCAGATGGTTAGGTTAATAGCTTGTTTAGAGAACCTTTTCATGATATGCTATTTTTTTGGGACAGGCATTTTGGGTTTTCATGAGCTGTATGCCATAATCATCAGTATTAAAACAATTAAAGACCTGAAATTTTTCAGTTGGTGTGCAATGAATCTGAAATATATGAAAGTTTCATTTTTATCAATACATTATGGAAAATAATGACCTTTATCACAATATGCACATTTTTTGAGAAAGACCTGTATATTATTACTCAGTTTTAGGCTCAGCTGGCCCATGAAGCTCCTTTGTTGCATGAAGAAGTACTTCAGCGCCCTCTGCTGGATATTACTCAAATCGCCACCATCCACATGAAAAGTCACAATAATTTAAAAATCAGAATTTGGGAAGTTTTAACCCAACTTCTGATTAGACTGTTGGTGAAATCTATTGAAGCAAGCTGTAAAGCTTTGTAGCTCTCTGAAAAGCAACACCAGAGGTGTTTAAAAAGCTTCAAATTATTATAAATGTACAGTAAGCTCAGTGACGCTGTGGCTCAAACAGCAGAGGAACAAAACACCTTAAAAAGGTGTGGTTTTTATTTTATTTTATTTCAATCCCTCATGATTTTTTAGCTGCTAAACCTTAACATGCAATTTTTAAAACATGAGAACATAATGTATCATTTGTAAATTTTGACTGAAGGTGCTTTAAAATCAGTCATTCTCAGAATAAGTTTTCCTTACTTTTTTAATACCCGAGTGTATAATTGTCAGGAGGTATGTTTAATTTGTTTTATGTTGCCATTTTTAAGTCTTTAAAAAGGTTCTAAATTAAATAAATGAATAAATAAAAACATATGAGACCTCCACACACCCTTTAGAAAGCTGCAGTTCACTCACCACAGTTTTCTTCATCGCTGCCATCAGAGCAGTCAGGCGAGTGGTCACACCTCCACGTGAGACGGACACACTTTCCGTCTCCACACTGGAACTCTGACGCTGCACACGAGGAGGGGGATCTCTGGGGTTGAGGCTGGCCCGAACCACACAGCTCCCGGGTCTCGTCGTGTCCGTTTTTACAATCGTTCCACCCGTCACAGACCTGGTTTCTGGGCAGGCAGGCATCGGACAGCCCGCAGGAGAAAAACCCAGCGGTGCAGTTGTGACAGGAATCCTCATCGCTCCCGTCACCACAATCATCAACTCCGTCACACAATGACCTCACCGATACGCATCGTCTGCTGTGGCAGGTGAACTCATCGTAGTTACACCACACGTGGCCTGTGAAGAGGCAAAGCTGCAAGTTATCAAAGGACGAGGAAACAAAAGACTCTTTGTGCTTTACTAGTGAGAATATAATCTGAAGAAACCGTGCCATTTTTTGCATGAAACCATCACTGAAAACAGATAATCCACGGCAGAAAGGATATTTACAGTTACCATTTGTCTGACAATTTAAAACACAACCTGTGTCCCTCCATTGAAATTAAACATCAAGACTCGTTTTTAATTTTTTTTTTTTTTTTTCCGTTTGGCTTTTGATTCAAGCAGTTCAATTAGAGCCACTGGTTTGTATGTTGGGTTTCTATTTTTATTTTAACTCTACTTGTGTGTCCATATTGGAAATATTTGTTGTAATTTCTTGTTCTGGGCAGCACGGTGGCGCAACTGGTAGAGCTGCTGCCTCTCAGCGAGCAGGTCCTTGGTTCAAACCCCGGTCCAAGGGCCTTTCTGGGTGGAGTTTGCATGTTCTCTCCGTGCATGCGTGGGTTTTCTCCGGGTACTCCGGTTTCCTTCCACAGACCAAAAACATGCATGTTAGGCTGATTGGTAACTCTAAATTGTCCCTAGGTGTGAGAAAGAGTGAATGGTTGTTTGTCTCGTTTGTCTCCATGTGGCCCTGTGATGGACTGGCGACCCGTCCAGGGTGTACCCCGCCCCTCGCACAGTGATTGCTGGACATGGGCACCAGCGACCCCCGTGACCCAAAATGGAATAAACGGGTAAAGATAATGGATGGATGGATTTCTTGTTTTTGTAAAGTGGTATCAGGGCACTAACAATCAATCGTTGAGCTGATCGTCCTCATTTATCTAGTTTTGCTGTCACCAGAAAACTGGTTGATCCAGTATGTGAAGGTGCTATTTATAAGACTGAGTTTGCTGCAGCTCCTCAGACTAACAATGTCTTTTGGATAAAATACGAAATGTTTCAACAAGAAGAATTTGTCCAAAGGACCCGACTTTGTTCATTTTATTATTTTCTACCTGGATTATTGAGCATGAATCAGGATATTTCTTGTTCTTGTAGATTTGCATTTTCATTTGATTGACTTGTAAAGCACCTTGGTCAAATTTTGTTTTTCTGTGCTCTATAAATAAAATCACATTGATATCAAACATTTAACAGTAATTCTTTAATAGAATAACTACAATGCCACATTATTCACCTGAATGCTGGGTATGCACGTAAAATGACAACACGTTAGACATAAGACCTTTCAGAAGTGTTTTGCACATAATCCCCCTAAAATATATATTTTTTTGTTAGTAACATACAGAATAATGCTGTATTTTCTCAATTTATTGCATTCACCGATTTAACTGGAGTTTAAAATTAGCGGTGATTATGTGAAACAGGAACTATAATCCCTTAATATGTTTTTTTAAAATATATTTTCACCTTGTTCTTTTTATTTTTTTAGTCATTAGTCAAATCTGTACTTTCTCGGCTCTTAAAAATGTGACATTTATTCAAAACCTGCTGGTTTTCCACATAAAAAAAAAAAAAGGTGTTTGAAAGCACAATAGGCTCCTTCCTAAGGGGGCTTTTCTTGGTAATCCTGAAGTCCAAGATAAACACCAAATCTCTGAGAAACTCAATCCTGTGAAGGCCTTGATGACCTCAGAGGGATTAGAAAAATATTCCCACGACGTCGTCGGATCTTTGCAGCTCAGAAACAGCGACACGTGTTAGATGAATTTTGGAAGTAAGCTTGAGCTTAGCTCTACAACATTAACCATAAATGCACTGGTTCCCTGGAGAATCTTAAAAAAAAAAGAAGAAGATATTTTACCACTATATTAAAGTAATAAAAATGATCAGCATTATTATCAGGTGAACGTTACATAAAATGTCCTACAGACTTTGGCACAGCTGTTAAAAGGAGTTGGGAGGATTCTGGGAATGTATCTCTTATCAGAACTGGACTCAGCAGAGTTGAAGTTGTGTGGAGTGTAGGTTGAGGCACACAAAGCCAACAACTGCAAAGTCTGCTCAGAACAATTCTGACCTCTGGGTATACTTTGCTGTGGACATTCATCCAACTCTTATTTTAGTAGCTTCATGCAAATCAGCTCACTGGTTCATGTGATGGTTGCTAACAGAACAGAACATACAGGCAGAAGGATTATTGCCCCTCCTTCACCAACAGGTGAACGACAGCTCATATGTCAAGTGGTAAGTTGCCATCAGACAGTTAACTCACTACAGGAGCCTTCATCTGATCCGTCCTCACAGTCTGAGCGGCCGTTACACACCTGCAGCCTCGGGATGCACGACCCATCGCTGCAACTGAACTCCAGTTGTTTGAGGCAAGCAGGCAAAGAGTGGCCTGCGGTGCCTAAAATATAAACAGCAAGCCACATCAGCTGCCATTCTGCACCAGTGTGGCGTAAAATAGCAGCCTCCATTCTGTGGGAAAGCACTTTTACAAATTAAGAGTCGATTAGTCTGGAAATGTTTGTACAACCTCAATTTAGAACTGGTCTGAAGGAGCGCTGCGTAGTAATTCAGGGAACAGGATTGTGGAATTGCTTTGATATCGCCATAAAAACAACTAAAACAATGTATATGTTTAAAAAGATGATTACCATAAATTAAAGTTGCTGAAGGATGCCTGATGTTTTTTGCTTTCAATTTAGAGATTGTTCAAGTGTATGTCGTTTGTTTGTAGTTATTTTATTTATTGTTTAATAAGGGGCAGATATAATAATTGTTTTTCTTCTTTCTGCACTCATTTCATTCAATGTTTTTTTTTTCCTTTTTGATGAATGAGTTTTATTTTAAATGAATGACTACATGAATAAATAAAATAAAAAAACTGTTGATAATTTTACAAAAACATTTATTTCCACTGTTTTTAGCTCTAGTTGAGCAGAAGTATCTAAACTGTGCTGTACACACGCAACTGTTGTCATCATTTGTTTGTTTGTTTTTTGTTTGGTTGTATTTGAAATGTTTAACATCTTTCTGAAGTATTTTTTGTTGCAAGTTATAAGTCTTTTTATATTTTACTCATGATTCGACTTGAGAAAGAACTTCGAACTGATTTGAAATGAAGACATCTTGACAACTAAAAATATGAGGCACGGTTAGGTTGAAAATAAATAAATAAATAAAAGCTACACTATTTTTTTTATTTTTACAATTGCACTCTTAAAAAAACTTGGCTAAAACAAAAAGTAATTTTGAACACTGAATAATTTTGTTCATTTCTTGGAATAAGAACGCAATATTTAGTTTTTGTTGAGCACACACACACACACACACACACACACACACACACACACACAATTTTTAAAAAATACACGTTTCCTTCCTCCACCAGCAGCAGCAGCAGCTCTGCAAACAGTCTGAGCGCGTCAGGACTGAGTCCGTCATTTACTGCAACAAAACGCGGACAGTCGAGCTCATTTGTAAAATATTTCACATGTGACAGAAACTCCAGCGTCTTACCACAAACACGAAGGCAGAAAAGCGGTGCCACGATGAGAAACAAGCCTCCAAGGTGCCCCATGCTGGATGAGATCTCAGGAACGACGAGGCGCACAAATATGACGTAGCAGTCGCTGCTGTCAAACCTGGCCGTTTATGAATTTGTCAAACTAATTAGGCCCAACGCTGTTTAATTGCCCTCTCTGCTGAAGTAATCTCAGTCTAAAGACGATAAATTGTACCATTTTTATTATACCATAACGACAAATATGCATTAACGCGTGGTATAGGTGACCTTAAATAAAACTCTTGTAAATTTGCTTTTAGTAACAAGTATTTCAATACAATATAAATGCCAGATAAGCACTTTTTTTTTTTTAGAGTTTAGACAAAACTAGTGATACATTATTTGTCCTGGACTTGCTCATTTTCCCCTTCCTATTGTTTTTCAGCAACTCTATAAAATAATATATTAATGATATTAATCAAGGATTCAAGGTTTTTATTTGGAAATTAAATGGAAATCAGAAAAGCCACTTTTACTAGTTGTTATATATCGTCCACCAGGCGCTTACTCTCAGTTTTTGTCTGAATTCTCAGAATTCTTAACTGACTTACTATTAAATACTGATAAAATCATCATAATGGGCGATTTCAATATTCATGTGGATGTTGAGAGCGATAGCTTAAGCATAGCCTTTAATAATTTAATAGACTCATTTGGTTTTACTCAAAACGTCCGCACATCTACTCATTCTTATCATCACACTCTTGATTTAGTTCTGATCTATGGTATAGATTAAGAACTTGGTAATAGTAATATGATATTGGGATTACAGGAACAGCTCTAAAATGGTTTAAATCATATCTATCTGATAAATTCCAGTTTGTAAATGTAAATAATAAATCTTCTTCGTACACCAAAGTTAGTCATGGAGTTCCTCAGGGCTCAGTGCTTGGGCCAATACTCTTCACTTTATCTATGCTTCCATTAGGTAAAGTTATTAAACAGGATGGGTTAAAATTTTCATTGTTATGCTGATGACACACAATTATATTTGTCCATTAAACCCAATGAATCCAATCAGCTACTTAGACTACTAGCATGTCTTAAAGACATAAAAAAAACTGGATGACCCTTAATTTTCTCCTTTTGAACACAAGACTGAGGTTTTGGTTTTTGGACCTGAGCACCTTAGGAATGAAATTTTCAGTCTTTCTCCCTCCTTAGATGGCATTAATCTGTCCTCCAACTCTAATGTTAAAAATCTTGGCGTTATTTTTGATCAGGACGTCTTTTATCCCCCACATTAAAAACGTTACTAGAACTGCCTTCTTCCACCTGCGTAACATCACTAAAATTAGAAACATCTTATCTAAAAATGATGCAGAAAAACTGGTCCATGCATTTGTCACGTCTAGACTGGACTATTGCAATGGCTTATTATCTGGATGTCCAAATACTTTCTTAAAATGTCTTCAGTTGATCCAAAATGCTGCTGCCAGAGTCTTAACTGGAGTTAGTAGGAGAGATCATATTTCTCCAGTTTTAGTTTCTCTCCATTGGCTCCCTGTCAAATCCAAAATATAATTCAAAATCTTACTTCTAACCTACAAAGCTCTCAACAACCTGGCTCCATCTTATATTACAGATCTTATTGTTCCATATTTTCCTAACAGAGCGCTTTGCTCTCAAGACTGCAGGTTTACTTGGGGTTCCTATAATTTACAAAAACAGAATGGGAGGCAGATCTTTTAGTTATCAGGCTCCTCTCTTGTGGAACCAACTTCCAATCTCTGTCCGTGAGGCTGACACATTATCCAGTTTTAAAACTGGGCTTAAGACTTTCCTTTTGGCTAAATCCTATAGTTAGGGTCGGCTTGGGTTTCCTGAGCTGTCCCTTAGTTATGCTGCTATAGGATTAGACTGCTGGAGGACAAACTGACCACAATTTTCACTCTGCTACTGTCTTTACTTACTCTGCTCAACCTGTTTTGTATTTGTAATTATTTTTTCTATCTTTAACGTGTTTTTTTTGTCTTTCAGATACACCTGGACCTATACCTGGACCTACCATTCTGTGTTCGTCTGTCTCTCCTTCCTGTCCTCTCAACCAGCCAGTCAAAGCAGATGGCCGCTTGTCCTGAGCCTGGTTCTGCTGGAGGTTTCTTCCTTTTAAAAAGGGAGTTTTTCCTTTCCACTGTTGCCACTGTGCTTGCTCAGGATGGGAGACTGCAACAAAGCCAAGATTCAACTTGTTTGCTGGATTCCTTAGATAGAGAACTTTACTAATCGGCTTTTATGTATGTGAATGTTCCTGTAAAGTGCCCTGAGACAACTTTGTTGTGATTTGGCGCTATATAAATAAACTGAATTGAATTTGTTGTTCACACCACATGTACAAAATTGTGTACACAGGGTCCCAGTTACATCCAACAAAAGTATTAAAATGTAAAAGAAAATCAGTAATAAGATATGAACTAAGAAAAACTTTAACTAAAACTAGTAGCATAAAAACAATACACCGAACAGCAGCAAATTATATATAATTTACATAGATCTTTTTAATATTTGATCACCTCTATAATTTGCCTGCGACATTAAAAGTGTCAAAAATTTCTAAAACTGCAATTTGTTGCAGCTGATGTGTAGGGCGGCAATATTAAAGAACTATTTTTACAGTATTTAAACTTGTTTCAGCTTTTGTTTTTCATGAAAAATTACACAACATACAGGTGAAATAATTTGGGTTCAAACAGACAAGGTTGTAATAACTAAATTTCAAAAATGCATCTTTAACTAAATGAATGACTCATGGAGTTAATTTATTAAAACTCAGTTTGATCTTCTCATCTCTGTTAAAAAAAGGCCAAATTTACAAATAATAAAAACAGGATTTGTTCACTAGTCATAAAAGCCTTTCTGTTCAACGCTTGGCCTGTGACAGTGATGAAAACTGAACTAACTCTACAACATTTGAAACGACAACATGCAGCAACACTCGAGTGTGTTGCTGAACAGAAACACATGCAGGTCTGTTTGCACAGGTGTCGCAAGCATGACCAAAAATATTGAGCCCGTTAAACAAACGGAAAGATGAAACAGATTTTAGTCATACTTTATTGTACAAGTTAGAATCAACAGTGAAACATCTCGCTGCTGCTCAGAGATATGGCTCGTCTGTGGACAGGGGTGGCTCTTTATAAACAGATCCTGGTGTCACTGGACACTTTGATTTCACAGCAACTTGGCTAAAAGAGATTAAACCAATAAAGGTTAAAAGTACTAACAAACACATAAAACAAATAAATTAAAAGTGTCCTATCATTGCCAAACTGTTGTTACCCATCAGAGGAACTGGGTTAACTAATAAGAGGTTCAACATGAGAATAATATGAGAGTTAATGTTACCTGCCAGCAGTTATAGCTTTCTGTGAAAGCATTATAACTGTGGGGGGTTTCGCCAGTCTGCGGCCGTCTCGGGTGCAATAGTAGTTGTTTGCAAACTTGTGGCTCGGGCCCAACGGAATAACAGGCGGTGGTTGTGTCCTACACAAAAAACATTAAGACCTCACTAACACTGACACTCTCTTAGACTAAATACACATTTTTGCACCAGTAAGATCATGTGGGCATTCTGTTGCAGGTAGAAGAGAAGAATGGAGCAGAACTAAAAATGGTCAATTTGACCGTACAATAACTCATTTCACCTGTTAACCCCAGAATGTACCCCTCCCCCTTAAATCGCACACAAAATCTACATTTAGACACTTTTTAAGAAAAGGCAAACAAACCTTTGATGATCTCTCCTTTTGTTCATTTATATTTAATGTCAAATGAATGCAGGTTCAAAGCAACACTACAACAATGGAGAGGTGGATTTCACTGTGAGGCAGAATTTTCAAGATACTAGGGGCTTCATAAAATACAGAATGGTTTGTGTGAAGTTTTTTGTTTTTTTCTTCATTTGCACAGTTAATTATGCACTTAAAAAAGCATAGTGCATAATAAATTATAACTACTGAATAAATTAATGCAGGGCGACACGGTGGCACAACTGGTAGACCTGCTGCCTCTCGGTGAGAAGGTCCCCGGTTCAAATCCCAGTCCAGGTGCCTTTCTGGGTGGAGTTTGTTTTATTTATTTTTTTTATTCAACCTTTATTTAGACAGGTAAATCCCATTGAGCCTCGAGGACTCATTTACAAGAGAGACCTGAATGTATGTTCTCTCCGTGCATGCGTGGGTTTTCTCCGGATACTCCGGTTTCCTTCCACCAAACAAAAACATGCATGTTAGGCTGAATGGTAACTCGTAATTGTCCCTAGGTGAGAGAGAGAGAGTGAATGGTTGTTTGTCTCTATGTGGCCCTGTCATGGACTTGCGACCTGTCCAGGGTGTACCCCGCCCCTCGCACAGTGATTGCCGGACATGGGCACCAGTGACCCCCGTGACCCAAAATGGAAGAAGCGGGTAAAGATAATGGACAGATGGATGGATAGATTAATGCACTCCTTCCCTCCATACAAGCACACAGTGCTGCTGCAGGTGCACAATATAAATATCAGCAATGGACAAGCTGCTTAGATGATGTTGAATGGGAAAAGAAGAAAAAAGCAGAAAGTTAAAAAGAAAAATCCAAGATGGCATCATAAACTAATAAGGAGAAACAAGAAGATGCTGTGAGCGAGCGAACTCGAGCTAGCATTGCTAATGATTTTCATGATGAGCTGCAGCAATAGGTGTGGTAAAGAAATAAGTACCCCTAATGTGCTACATCACACAAAGTAGACCAGTTCATCAAATAATTCAACTCAATTCAATTTATTTATAAGCCACCAATTCACAACAAAGTCACCTCAGGGCACTGCACAAAAACATAATAACTGACATTATCTTTAAAGCAGACGTTCATAATTCAGTCCTTCCAATGGAATAGTTCAGCTATCCACAATAAGGGGAGTTTTTGATAACTAAAATGAAAACTGTTCTGGATCTATCTTGTTCAGGTACTGAATCCAAGTTCCTATTGATTTTAGCTGCTATGATGCCAGGGAACAATAAGGATACTGCCCAGAACCCTCAAATCCCACACATGATCCAAGTTTTTTAGTGAAGTCGAACCACAACAGTACAAACATGTACAAGATACTTTGAATATCTCACTTTTCTTATGCACAAGAATGCCAAAAGTGACATCATTTATCCAAGGAATAATGATATGTGAAATATTGATTCTGGATTAGAAGAAAACCCTTCTAGATACATGAGTTATTTAATTTCTCGGGGAGTGGTGGCGCAGAGGTTAGAAGATGGGCTTGTGATCAGAAAGTGGCAGGTTCACCTCCCGGTACCGTCAACATCAAAATATGGGTGGAAAAGGTGAAACACCCACAACTCCCTCCACTCTCATTCACCCTACTCTGGACCCCTGAGCAAGGCCCTTAACCCCCACCTTCTGCTCCCTAAAAACAGGTCTCTCTTGAAAATGAGTTCTCGAGGCTCAATGAGACTACCTGGATAAATAAAGGGTAAATGAAAAAAAAAAATTTTTATTGCTTTTAGCCAAAATAATTCAAATATGCACAACTGCATAAATATCCAGTCTATCCATCTGTATATCCAAGAGTCACTTGTGGGTGGTTTGTTTATGTATCATTTACAACAGCCTGCCAAATGGGAAGTGGATTTTTAATTAGACAAGACTTGCATGTAGCAATATAAGCAATAAATATGCTAAAAACAACTGGATATTAACAAAAAATATGGGATGGGGAAAACTTCATGTTTGTGCTTTTAATCCAAAATCCGCCTCTGCATTAATGACAAGCGTAAAATGGTTTTAGTGGTAAAAAAAAATGTCTTGTTTAGTTGGTGTGTAAATAATGTTGATGGTTGCTGAAGTCTAACCTCTTTGATATTTCGTCGTAACGCAGATTCGGTTTCAATTGTATTTTCCGCTGAAAAAACAAACAAACACGATCGAGATAAATATTTGATTATAGCATGATAAACATTATTAAATCTGATTATTTTCATATATCGTTTTCCTCACAGAAATGCTACTGGCTAAAGCTCAAGCTAGTTCGTTGCCTAATGCTGGCGATTTTCTTTTAAATTGACCTGGTGACATTTATTTTAATTTCACAAATCATCCTGTTCTGTTTTAATGTCTGGCCGTTGTTTCAATACTTACCCCAGATAAAAAGTTAATCAACATCTGTAATATTTTAGGAGTATTTGCCATGCTAGCTGTTTTTGTGAAGGGCACAATTCTTCTTCGGTGGTGTTTAACCCACTGGTCTTTCAACACATTACTGACATCTGCTGGTGGTAACAAAGAAGAACAGTTTAGGGCCGTGTCCATCTATGGTGTCCACCATAGACACTGAACTGTCACACGGGACAGCATTTGGTTCATAGACATATTATTATACCAAAATGCTGTCTCAGTCTTCTCAGTTGATGGGATTTGAATGGAAGGATCACTGAAGTAGAGAAACACCGGAAATGTCGTCTCATGCGCAGTCTAAACTAACAAAATGAGATTTGTGCCGCCATATTGAAAGGATCTTTGTGTAGCCAGCTGAGCGTTTTTATTTACAGCCAGAATGACAGCAGACCATGAATATCGGATTAAAAAACAAAATATTATTCACATATCATAATGTCACATCCTTGACTCAGCCTTTGTTCGTTGCTGGCACTGTGGGCAGAAGAACCACTTAAGTAGATAATCTGTGTCGCCATATTGAGAAGACCTTTTCGTAAATATCACACACACACACAAACTAAACTGAGTGAACGAGTCCACGATTTTAATTTTGGTTGTTATAATTATCGAAGTCAACCCTTCAAAGGACGCGCATTTTTTTTTTTTTTTTACCAGTGAAAATTATGTTCAGAAATCATTAAAAATGTGTCTGTAAAGTTTTTGTCTTTCTTGTCCATTTTAAATGTCATTTTAACACATAAAGAAAATACTTCAAAAGAAAAAACAAATGTCTGTGCTAAAGTGATACATTACATAACTGTAATATCTTAAATATATTCCTTCCAGGGTACTATTCAGTTTCAGGTCATTGTTTTAAGTCTAGAACCAATTAAGTGGGATGGAATTGTATTACTCTTAACAAGTAGAGACAAAAAGCACAATCACAGCTGCTGCTATTAGTGTTAATAACGGATTAATTAATAATTAACACAAAATTCAAGTGCTGCAGATAGTTTTTGTAATTATGTATATCGTTTATTTGCCATTTCTGCCAGGTTCACTGAAAGAAACCGGTCACCTGAAGCAGCTGTCCAACACAAGTTGTTCTTATCAAGCTGAAGTTTAATTCATGTCTGATTATCATTTTGACTGTTCATTAATGTTAATTTACTTTTTTTTAAATTCCCTATAACTACAAATTCAGCTTCAGCTGTTCTGATAATTCAAGGGTGGTTGAATATCCAGTGTTGTTATTGGTCAGTAACGTAACTTGCTCCCAATTTTAACGAGTGCAAATAATAAGTGCAGTAGAGTGGAGAAAATCATCACCTGTAGTTTCTACACTTACTCCTGCTGCATAGGCTTCATTTTGATAGCATCCTACCAGACTCGATATCTCAGATTAGAAAAACAAAACAGCTAGAGAAATACAAAGTTTATTCTCTGCACAATAAAATACAGTACAGGGCAACAGTGCCAGTATACCATGCAGTCAAGTATTACAGCTGTGTGCTTGTCTCATGCAGCATGCACTGAACAGAAGAGTCCACAGGTGAACACGTGCACATGTACAACAGCTCCATCTGTCAGCTTGTTGAACAACTGATGACTTCGCTGGCCCTAACGGCAGCAGCACATCATCTTAATCTGGTGGAGATCAGTGCAATGACAGAGTACGTTTACACTCACATGAAAGTTCTAGTTATTCATAAAAGGGTTTAGAAATTTAATTGGCAGATTTGGTCACACCTTTAATAGAAAGCAGTTTTTTTTTGCAACTGTTTATTTGAATACTGTAAATTGAAAGCCAAAGTGTGATTATTTATTTATTTATTCAGTCTTCATCATCATTCTGTCATATATTTGGACATGACATGATTTGTTTAACAATTCAGGCTTAGTGCAGTCAAGAAATTAGGTTTCTGCTTTAGCTGAATGGCTTAATTTTTTTCTTGTTTGATTTCATAATTTATACTTCTGATTATCTTTTCTTAGAAAACAGGCAACATAAGGCCAGAAATGATTCTTTTGTAAACTTGCGCACTAAAAAAAAGTTCTTAGTCTGGCGTCAAATTACTCTTTAAGACAAAAAACATACGCAGCTTTCTTTTATGGTATCAAATAGGAACTTTTTGTCATATACATCCACGAGATATAGTGTTTGTAAAGTACATTGCATGTTTGTTTGTTGTAAACGATTCTGTCAGACTGCAGAAATGTCTGAGGCGTTCCGTGAACTGCCCAACAAGAACAGCATTGCTTGGACGTCATCACAAGGTTTAAAAACTTTCAGGAGAGGAAGTTTGAGTAACACATTAACAGTTCTGATGCTTTATAAACGCAAGACAAGGAAACTTGGTACAAAATATTTTCTTTAAAAATAAAATATCCCCTTTTTAAACCTCATCTCTCTACAGGTAAAACACCACCTGTATGAATCAATTCTAACCTGACAGACTCCAGAAAGACAGAAAAAATGCTGTCCTTAGTCAGAAATTACCAAAACTCTTGATTCCACAATTTGTCAATGCATACATAGTTTACTCATTCAACATATTTGGAATTATACAAAGATTGAATACCAAAATAGACACAAAAAATAAACAATGTTCCAAGTATGCCTTTGGATTGACAGAAAATGTGCCGCTTTCAGTTTCTCTTTCACATTTAGATACAAAATATAATGAACATCAAAATAGTGCACTCTCCCCTCTGATGTAAACATGACTACAAAACACAAAGCATTTGATTTCCGAGTGATTTTTTTCTCGTTGTACAGAAGTATTACAGCGAACACTAATGTTTTTTTTTTTTTTACGTCAAAGTACACAAAGATGTAACATTTTCCATGTTCAGAAAGTGGTGTCACTGTAAGAACAGAAAGCCTTACTATGATAACCAAAAGGTTTTAAAACAGAAACCACCACCACAGTCTGACTGCTAAACGAGTTAAACAATCTGTTGCAACGATGAATCAGTGTTCGAATGACCTGAAACATGAGCATCATCCACAACTTTATCATTTGGTGTTGTAAAGATGACAAGCTGAAAAGAGACATTTTAAAAAATGCTTTGAGTCAACTTGTCCTTCCCATCATCAGATTTGGATTAAGAGGACAATGCTCTGAAATCCTGGCACATCAAATCCTTGATCCCGTTTTCTTGACGTTTCAAAGTCAGAACCAAATGGGTGTTTCAGTGAGATTTACCACATTGTTGTGCTGTTGAAATAATGCACAGACAATTTCATACTTCAAGAAACTTATGTAACAAGCCGGTGGCAACTAATTTTCTTGCCAATGTGATTTATAGTTGCAGTGCCATGAAAGGTTGAATTAAAGAAACAAAAAGGTTTAAATGAAAACTAAAAAAACCCAGAATAAAACTAAAAAAACTAATTCTGTTCCTCACTGTATGAACTCCCGTTTCTTTCTTTAGGTTTTGATAGTCGACATTGCTCCTACTAAATGCAATTATCCATATCTAAGAGATACTGAGGAGAAAACGGACCAAATTCTGACTTGTATTATAACGTTTTGCTTCCTTTGGTCCAACAATAATCCAGCATTTTCTGTATCGCCACACTACAATAAAAAATAGACATTTTTAGAAAAAAATTCATTCAAAAGACATAAAACCACATTTGATGGATACAAAATCTTCACACCGTGGCTACTTAAACATTGAGAACTTCCATCTTTGTTATAAATGTGTCATACATTACAAACATTATAAATATAACCAGAAAGTCTCCAATGCCTGAAGGCAACATATTTACATTACAAAATTCAAGTAAAACTTTGTTCCACAACTTCAGCCAGATAAGCTTTAAGTACGTTTACAACTTGCACTTATGTGGGTCGAACTGGAAACAACTCGGCTTCATTTTGTTTTAATTGAGAGGATTCATAACAGAAACAAACAGCTGAAATGAAGACAGTGATGGGTTCACTTTCTAATGTGTTCTTTTTGAAGTTTGTCCTCACTGCGCTCTGCAGTCAGAGATGATGGAGCATCTTGATGACGGGTGGATGAAGTTCCTGCTGCCAGAGTGCGTTCGGTGTGAAGATGTTCTGGTTGTTCCTGCTGTGATGAAAAGACCTCCAGCTCCAGGTTTTTGTTGGATTCCTCTTCATCCGAGCACGGCTCCCACTCGTCCTGCTCCTCACTCTCTGTTGAGCCCTGAACAGCGATCTGAGGCACCAGTGTGAACCTCCTCACCACTGGTACTTCTAGCTCCACATCCTCCCGGCTCTGAGACTGAGAGACCATCCAAGGCTTCCAGTGCGGCTGCTGTGTTTGGGCTCCTGGCACTGTAGTGGTTCCTGTCATTATGCTGCTGCTTTTCTCCTCTGGCTCGTCAAAGCTCACCTCCTGCACCGCCTCCTGCTTTTTGAAGGAGTCTCGCCGCTCTGACAGGTTGAGCTTCCTCATCACAACTAGCTGCTCTGATCGTTCGATCCCAGAGTCTCGTATCCTTTGGTTGCCCATGTAGCCCCCCAGTCTGCTGTGATCTGCAGAGATGTAAAATCCTCCACATGCTCCTTCTGCCTCAAAATCACCCAGCAAGTCACACTCTCCATAAAACGGCACTTCCAGCGTGTGCCTGCGGGGGGCATATGACTTCTTGTCAGCAAGATACACACCAGACAGCTTTTCAGCAGACTGTACTCGCTTAAGCAAAGGAGACCGAGGTGGCTCTGCGCTGCGTGGCCGGACACCGTGCCGAACGATGGTGGGGGGAGATAAGGTTTTGCCATGAAAAGTGTGAAGGGATTTGGAGAAGCCTGGCAGTGGAGATGGTGAACGTTGTGGGGATAGTGGCTGGTTGGAGGACGAGGAGGAGTTGCAGGCCAGAGGTGAAGGGGGAATGTTACTGGTCGACTTCCGTCGGCCCACCTTAGCGTAGCGCTGCGTGCTAAGTTTGGAGCCCAGGCCGTGAAGAGAGTTGGGCCGGATGTGTGTGGCGGGAGAACTGGGCGAGCTTGAGCAGGGAGATGTGCTCTGAGGAGAGTTGTCTGTGATGCAGAGGAAGCAGACAGAAAATGTGAAAAGTCGTAATGAAAACCATTGAAAGACTTCGCACCATTTAACCTATCAGAAATTCAACACCAATAAATAAATGCTCACTCACCGCAGCCCTGATGTTCTGGTGCCGGACTCCTGCAGGGTGTCGAGGGACCAGGGGACAGGCTGTGTGTTGGGGAGCCTGGAAGGCTCTCACTGGAGGAAACTGAATGATGAAGACCTGAAGAGAAGCTGCGACTGCTGTGTATCACTGTGCTTTGCTTGGAGAGTTTCTTTAAGATGGTTCGTCGCCTGAAAGAAGAACAGAAGCAACTGCGTTTAAAGACATTTCATATTAATTTAATATAATTTCTTAAGTATAAAAAAAAATGATCCTCCAAACAATACTAAAAAACAACTTTCAAACTTGAAATATTCACCTGTCATAATTATCTCTCCTTTTGCTCTTCTTGCTGCGGCGAGCCATCTTCCCTTTGTGCTTGGTCTTTCGAGCCGGACCGACTTTGATCGACGTGTTCTCAAGTGCTATGGTTTGAAGAGTCACCTTATTGCCACTCTGCACATTTCAAGGGAATTAAAGACATTTTGTCAAAATTAAAAACATTTTGAATCAGTTTCAATGTGAGAGATCACTTTATTTAGTGATTATACCTTCAGGAGCAGTTCAATCAACTCTGGGTGGACGAGCCCTTGAACAGGCTCTCCGTTCACGTGGGTGATGAGGTCTCCAGTGCGGAGGCCTGCCTGATGAGCTGGGCTGCCGTCCTCCACGCTCTTTATAAACAACGAGCAGAGGAGTTTCATATCAGCATTACACAACCACATTTGTAACAGTCCAAGTTTGGAATCACAAGAACAAAACACAAAACTACAGTCACGAGGGGAAAAAAATTCAAACTTAAAAAAACCCCCAGCAAAAACCAGATTAATTTTATTCCATCTTGGTGTGTAAGATCCTAGAAATGAAAGATTTGTGGACTCTTTTCCCATAAATGTTGGTTCACAAGTAATATAACACCCACCGACACCATATGATGCACAGTATAGACATCACTGTCACCCATGTAGACTCTGATGGCCTGCAGGGTAAAGCCATACTTCTTTCCCGAGGTGTGAATGATGATTGGTGGCCTGAGACTCCCAGGACTGAATGAGAAATCCCTGTTGGGGGATGAATCCCGAGATGATGGGTTGGAAGACAGAGAGCGTGGGGAAATGGGACTGGGCTGTAGGCCGCTGGGTGAATCATCTGAAAAGCACAAAAATTGGATAATTAACAAATACTAATACATTCAGAATATAAACTTTGGACCTAAAATATTTTAATTTCACATAATAAAATATGAATAAAAATAATTCAAGTGTAAATATGATCTTATCCTTTTATTCCAGTCTGCTTATTTTCAGTCAGACTCCAGACTTTAGCTGTATATGTTATGCTCAACAGTGATTTGGTGGTAAACTTGCATTTACCTGCTGTAATGATGAGGGACAGAGCTGAGATGGAGGCTGACTTGGGAACTTTTCCTCCACAGGGAAGCTTCTGTCTGTCTGGAGTCTCCAGCTGGTTTCCAAAGCGTCGAGGGCCTGCTGGGTCCTTGGGGGATGAATGTTTGGCCCCGGTGCTGTTGCTTCGAATCCTGATCCTCCTGAGGTTTGACACCACCACCTCAGCTGCAGATGACACAATGTAAAATGAGTCAACATAAGCTTACTATTAGGGAAGCGTTAGAAAAATGTGAAAGTCAGGTTTAACCTTCATCGTCAGTGGAGAGGGCGAAACGGGGCATCGTCTCCAGGCTGTGGGTGCTGCTCATCACCAAAGGACTGGTGCTTCTTTCAGACTGGGAGGAACTGGACGAGGTTCGAGGGCGAAGGCTGCAGTTGGTCAAAAACGAGGTGGATGATTACAAAAGAATTAAAAACCTAACGATTCAAGACTAAATCAAAAAAGCTCAGGCTGCACAGGAGAATACATTTTCCATTTGTGTTTACCTGGTCATGCGTCCAGAATGTCGGATTTCCACACTGCCATCTGTTGGGCCCGGGGACAAATTCAGTCCTCCAACATCCAAACGGTCCTCTTTGTCTTCACTGTGACTGCGGTCCGAAGAGAAGCTCAGGTTGGAAGGTGTCGCCAGATGTTCTGTGCTGCTGTAAACCTTAAAAATCAAACAGATGTAAAATCAGGACTTGGGACTGATGTGTAGGGGAACACCACCTCAGAAAGAGAACACCTCATCTCAGAAAACAGTTCACTTCACCTAAAACAAGCATCACTCCTGTGTTTTGTGTTACAGGCAATCTTCTCATAATTTTTATTTATGTTACTGTACAAAAGCATCCCCACAAACCAGTTGGTTTTATGTCGAACTGAAACGAGAGAAGCAGCGTTTACCTTGCTGAAGCGATGGGACCAGGAGGAAAACTGTCTGATTTCCAAAGACTCGTCGTCGTCGTTGGTTTCTTCATCTTCATCAGAGGCCAAATGATGGTAGCGATCTGAACGAGCTTAATGCAGGAAAACAGAAACGACTCAGAAATGAAGAGAACTTTCCATCTGTAAATCTTAATTTAATCAGGAAGCAAACTGATTTTTGATAAAGTTGTTCTTAACAATAAACGTTCCCTCATTTCACACCAAATAGGACGTGCTAGCTATTAAACGGTTTTAAATGCAACTTACTGTCAAAGTAGCTGGTGTCGTCCTCTGCCTCAAGCTGAGGAATGAACTCCGCTTTTTGTCGGAGGAGTCCATTCCAGTCCAAACCCAGAAAGAAAGGGTGGTGCTTCACCTCAGAGGCACCGCCTATTAACACAGAATTTGGTTTCAAAGCCAAATCCAACAATAAATGGGTTTGCCGTTTTTAATCCACAAGTCTTCCTTATTTTTTACTGTTTAAAAAGAAAAGGCATCAATCCAATTTAAACATGAGTTTATCAACAGTACCTACCTGTCCCCAATCGTTCTAAAGGGCTCTGCCTCAGCAGCCGGGTGATGAGGTCCTGGGCATCAACAGGTAAAGCATCATCTCCTTCTGGCCAAATGATTTCATCTATTCATCACAGAAACACCAGGTTAATAATGAGTTAACAAAAATAAAACAAAAACAGCAACAGTCTTTAACTTTAAATTTACAGTTATACATAGACATCAAAGAAGCTGACCTATTTTTCTAAAATGATAATTTTCTTTGAGTTTTGGTGTCACAGAAACATTTGCATTAAGAATAAATTAGGCATTTCTATTTTAGAGGGGTTTGTGTCACATTGTCACAAATATTATTAGCCAGTTCTGAGAGCGCAGCTACAGTAAGCTGAGCTGTTCTGACACGACTGGAGTCAACAACTCAACTGAGACACACCAAAAACAAAACCAAGATGCCTTTATTCTGATATTTGGGTATATTAAATATACAAATATGTACCGACCACTGACAACTTGTCCAAAAAGCTCCTCAGGAGTGTCTCCAAAAAATGGAACACAGCCCACAAGGAACTCATAGAGGATGATTCCCATCGCCCACCAGTCCACTGGTTTCCCATAGCCCTGTCTGAGGATCACCTCTGGAGCAATGTACTCTGGAGTACCGCACACCTGAATGAGCAAACCAACAAAATTTTTTTAATTTTTTCAGTAAAAAAATAAAATAAAAATAATATTAATACTCTATCTGAAATTGTCTTACCTGCTTGTCAACAAATTCTCTTGTGTCCTTTTCAATGTGACCCTCATACAAGTTTGTGGTCATGTTCATCAAGCCGATTTTAGACAAACCAAAGTCTGTCAGCTTAATGTGACCCATGGATGTGATCAATAAACTGGTGAGTGGAAAAATAAAAACATATATTAAACTTAACAAGACTTTTGAGTTGTGCGTATTTAACAAATTCTACCCGGAAGAAAAAAAAAAGAAAAGTAAAAACCTGAATTCTTTATGCATCTATTCACAGTCACTACAGTACAGCAGTACTGGTCTCAAGCAAAAATATCAAACAGGGGAGAGTTGGGAGTGTGTTTCTCACTTGTCAGGTTTAAGGTCACGATGCACAATGCCATAGTTGTGAAGATACTCCAGAGCCAGAACTGTTTCAGCAAAATACATGCTTGACATTTCCACAGGAAGCGGGCCCATGTTCTTTAATAGGTTGGCACAATCTCCACCTAGACACACCATAAGAAATATATATACTTTTTTTAAAACAATTTATTTGTACACACTGGTTTGTAAAGCAATGTAAAGTATGTATGATATCAATGCTGAAAATTCGATTTTTGACTAAACAGTAACTGTTGCTAGCTAAACAAGCCATCACAGAATTTGTTGTACAGTAGTCCCTCGCTACTTCGGGGTTAGTTTTTCACACATTCTCTATATCACGGTTTTTCAAAGTAAGATTGGACATGACACAATTGGCTGATTGATGGATGAGCCATGGATTGTTTATTTAAAATAAATTATTTTAAATGATTTTGCACCATGTGTGCAGCCCACAAGTGCAGGGAAAGCTCCCTCCTGCAGACTGATTAGCTGATTTCCTTCTCTGTCAAACACATTTCTCTTGCTGCAGCTTTGTGAAGGGTTTACCCTTTCCTGTCCAGATGTACCCATCGACTTTTGTCTTCCAACTTAAAATTCAAAGTATGTCACATCGTAAAATCTTCATAATCACAAAATATAAGTGTTAAAAGTTATTTTTAATTATTTTAGAACTTCTATGTTCAGTTGCTTCAGTGTAATTGATCAAGAAGTGCATTTCTGCTCCGTGCAGCAGAGCTGCATGAAGCTGTGCACTTCTCTTCTCTAAAATTTAAATACTGTAATGTTTTAAATAAACAATCACATTGCATGGATCGTTTATTTAAAATGTTACAGTATTTAAATTGTTAATTTAAGGAGGGAGATTGGGGGTAAAAAGTGATGAGTGAGTGTGAATTCAGCCTGGCACATGTCATGACAGTTTACTGAACTTGAACTGAACTTGGACTACTGTATCCCTACTTCATGGTTTTTCATTTATCGCAGGTGGGCATGGTCCTTAAAACCCGCGATAAATGAGGGACTACTGGATTTCTGCATTTAGACACAATTTAAACCATTGCATTTCAGTCTGAGCTGTGATTTCAATGTAAAAACCAACCATGCTGTCTGAACGTTACCTTCAACATACTCCATGACCATGCAGAGGTGGCGTCGTGTCTCAAAGGAGCAGAACATGGAAACAACAAAAGGGTTCTCTGCAAAAATTAGAATATCCCGCTCCACAAACGCCTGCTGGATTTGGTTCCTCAACACCAGGTTCTGACGATTAATTTTTTTCATAGCAAACCTCTGTCCCGTTTCTTTGTGGCGAACAAGATACACTGCCCTGTTAAAAAAAAAAAAAAAAAAACCAACATATAACACATATAAACAGAACTTTAACATTCACAGAACTCTGAAGACTGGCTTTGCTGCCTCATGCTCATCTAAAGCCATGTGTAAAAGGTGAGCGTGATGGGTATCTTGACAAATTTAAGGTCTTTGTGTAATTTTATGGTTCCCATCAGTCTTTAAGGAAACAAATCCAAGTTTCAAAAACCACCGAGTATTCTTCTTACCCGTATGCTCCGTTACTAATGAGTTTGATGGTCTCAAAATCTCTCTCAAGAGGTTTTCTTCGAGTAGGGGTCAGCGTCTGTGGTGACTTATTCTGAAAAATAAAAAAATAAAGCTAAAAATTTAAGCTTGTGATCAGCTGAACACAAGATAAAAATTAAAAGCAGTAGGAGAACGAAAACAGGGATTAGTGACAGAATTATATTTTATATTCAAAGTTTACTTTCTGCCAAATTAAACAAGAACACACTATAGTTAGATAAAATTATCAGCAGTGTCTATTAAATATTTTTTTAAGTGTCTATTAAAGAGTACTTTTCTGAAAAACAGAACAGAGAAAGAATGTTAAACATTCCACATGATTTCATTATAATGGTTGTAAACAATAAACAACATTATTCATGTTCACACCTGCCATAATCAAATAAAACAAACTGTACTCATGATTTTGTTTTTCCTTCTTAAAAGCCTAAAGGAAGAGAGTAAACATTAGTCAGACCGTAGCTGACTAAGTTCAAGGATAATGAATGTGTGAAATCGTCAGACATTATTCAAGTTAGCATTAACATTAATGAAACGATTCAGGTGAGTCTGGTAGACAGCCTAAGGGTCAGAGGTCAAAGTCAGGGGAGTACATCTTCATGCGACATATTCACATTATCACCATTGACCAGTCCAGCACCAGTTTCATTAATACATGTAGACAGCAATGACTTGTTCAGCATCATCTGATCCAACAAAAGAGCTCACCTAGCTCACGTTGCAAAAAAAGAAAAAAAAAAATACAGATTCTGATAAATAAAATTAAAAATTACATCAGAATAGAATCAGAATCAGATTATTATCGCCATGTCAATGAACGAGGTTCACAAACTAGGAATTTGCTTCGACATAAGGTGCAGTTGAATAGTGCAGTTTGTTGAGTTTGAGGTTAAAATCTGTAAACTTGTCAGTGCGCCTGTCAAATGCGACAACAAAGGGCATGCAGGCATTAAAACGGTTAGGTCTGACGAGTCATATTTTATTTTACAGCATATAGATGACTGGGTTTGCACATGTCGCATACCTGAGAAAGACTGCCGCATGATGCATGGTGTAGGGGATGTGATGCTTAGTGTCATGTCCTGCTACGATACATTTAGGTCCTGGCATTCATGTGGACATCACTATGACATCTACCATTAATTTAAACAAAGCCCTTATCACGTACAATGCCTCGTGAAATCAGTAACAGTTTAAGAATGACTTGGAGAACAAGACAAGAAGTTGACTTTTTCAAATTTTTGGATTTACTGGAAAGAAATTCAATCCATTTAGGCCTAAAATTCAAAATGTAAAAGGTTTTTTAAGAATCTGCTACTGACAGCTTGGTGCCAGATACTGTCTCACAGTAAACCTTCAAAATCGGACAAAGTTTATAGATCTATAAACAGGTCAGGGCGGTTCTGCTGGCAAAACAATGCTCAGTGTTAGGTCATAATGTTATGGTGGTTTGATTTTGTCAGAATACAGCAAGAACAAAATAAAGTTAAACTTAACATAAGTAGCTGTAAGCTCAAATTACTTTTTAACACATTTGACAGAAAAACTTTAATTAAAAAAACAAAACAAACTAAAAACTGCACACTCACAGGTCTCCAAAAACCAATTTAAAACGAGTAGCATTTACAGGAAATGTGTTGGACATCTTTCTTTAAATTTTTAATGTCCTTTCCTGTTATCAAATACTGTGAAAGCGTAATGACTCAAGATTTACCTCTACAGCAGCATCTGGTTCCACTGACACTGAAGGAGTGGCCTCATGTTCAAGCTGCACCATGTCTAAAACAAACAGAAGACCGTGTTTAACACGACACAAAATATCTACAATTAGTTAGCCTTCCAGCCCCGTCTGTTGCTTGATATTCCCACAGTGTTTCGAAACTCTTGTATGAATCAGACGGCTCAAGAGAAAAAAAGTTAATTTAAAAAGTTCCACGTTTATTTATAATAAAAAATACAAAGAAAAAAAATGAAATAGTTTCAACACTACGCCATTTTCACACAAGCCTGCTAGTTCAAACACTAAAAAAAACACTGCTAGTTCATCCTAACTGTGCAAATTAACATCAATTCCATATGAGGTGTAAGGTTCAACTTATGTTCACAAAAGTGTTTCTCTTAATGAAGCTAATTTTAAAATATATTAGTACAGATCTTTCATACTGACACACCTGTCTGCTACATGTTGGGCATCTTTCTTTTTTTACTTGAAACTTATTAGCTTTAAGGGTGAAGAGGGGTACAGGAATTTCCAGAAGGTTATAAACACACTAATTTATACAGCTGTGCGATGAGATCTTCCACTCCACATCAAATACCTGCAGCAAAATGTCTTACTATGTATAATTCTAAGTATTTTTGCACAAGAAAACACGGAATATGTGATGCTGTGTCCTCATTGCTGATCCAAAGTCTGTGATTTTCTTCTGGTCAGATGTTGCACGTGGAAAAACTCCAGGTTAACTACAAAAAAAATGTCCCTTGAAATTTGGATTTCATAAAATTAAAACAACACGAGAGCGACCTTTGAAGCAAAGAGCACACTTTCCACTTCTGAGTGGATTATGTTTGTATCTCAGATTAATAAGTGAGTTTTCCTTTACCTTCTAACGGGTCTCGGGTCAGACCAAGCTGGCTGATGATGTACCGCGGGATGTCTGTCTTGATCCCCTGGCCCACTTTGGCGTGACCCTCCGCTGCCTCAAGTAGGTGATAAAACTCTTCCGGGTCAAACTCCTGTCAACAGCACCCAACAGTAATTAATATGGAGAGTTTGAGGCCAGACTCCTCCCAGAGTGAGTGTGTGTGTGGTGTGTAATCTCTAATAATCTTTTAGTCTAAGACAAAAAGGCATCAAACACAGATTTACGTAGAATAATCCTTGATTTTCATTAAGAATTCTAACCTAATGACTTAAAGTTGCAAATTGTATTTTTTTTTTTTACTTAATATAATAACTGAAAACAAAAGTAAAAAAATGGCCACTACTTCGTTGGCCACTACTTCGTTAGAAAAGTTATTTCCGAAGCCTTAATTAATTTTGTGCTTAAAATAAATCAAGACGATGTACAGAAAATGCAAAAGCAACATGAATAATCTTGATGTTTTTGTTCTCACTTCAGTGAAAACAAAGAAAGGAGCTTTATTACAAGAATCAACTTTTTCCATGTTCCAACAGAATTTCTTACTCTGCAGCTTACCAGGCATTCTAGGAGACGAGCTGGTCGAGAGATTATAATGAGAATCTTGCGCACCAGCTGGGTGATGACGGTTACCTCCTCGCTTTCAGAGCGTTCGTAAGCCTGAAATTAAAACAAAAACACCAAGAGTCAAATGTAAAGCTAAGCACGTTCAAATATGAGTGGTTACCTAATGTTTCTGCTCAATTTGTTGTAGTGAGGAAGTATAAATATAAAAAACTAAAAGCTCATTTAAAAAAAACTAAATGGTTTGCTAAGGTTTACATAAAGTGATAATGGATAAATTGCATCTGAAAATATACCACACAGCCAACAGGACATCTAAAATAGTCTTTTGTTTGTTTACTTAGACCTTATTGAGTTTGCTTATTAGGTTTTGTCAAAACTTATTTTTACAAGTGGCAAAGGATGTGCCAAAAAAAGACTTGTAGGAATTAGAGATTAACAGTCATATGAGGAGTGAGCTGAAGATGTTAACCAGTCTATTCATGCAACAATAAGCAACAATAATAGCTTACAATAATTTGCAATTTTCTGCACAATGTCAACAAAACATTTGATATTACTTTTTTTTTTTTTACTGAAAAATCTACATGAGTAAAAGCAGTCACAGAACTTGATTCTGTCACTAAAATAAACCACCATAGTTAAAATGTAAACCAAACGCAGCTGTTATAAGAAGTGCCTCTATGTTTTTATTTATTTATTTTTTGGGTGGGGGGTGGGGTGGGGTGGGGGGACTCAACAAAAATGTTTTGTTTTATTAAAACCGGTAATTCCAGCAAATATGGGTTGCCGCCAGTATAAAAACAGGTTAATAAAAAATAAAAACGTTTGCTGTTTATAAGACTTACTAAGCTACAGCTACAAGTACTTGGGTGTACACATGAACGACAACCTCAGCTGGAGCAACAACACCACCAGCCTGATCAAGAAAGCTCATCAGAGACTACTTCCTCAGACGGCTGAGGCGAGCTGGTCTGGGAAGCTCAGTCCTCACTTCCTTCTACTGGTGTGCAGTGGAGAGCATCCTGTGCTCGAGCATCAATGTGTGGCATGGAGGCTGCACAGCTGCAGAAAGGAAAGCTTTGCAGAGAGTGGTGAAGGCTGCACAGAAATCTGTCGGAATCAGCCTCCCCACCATCACAGACATCTACACCTCCAGATGCAGGAAGAGGGCCACCTGCATCATGAAGGACCCCACTCACCCAGCACACACACTTTTTGCCCCACTCCCCTCAGGAAGGAGGTTAAGGAGCATTAAGTGTAGAACCACTAGACTGAGGAACAGCTTCTACCCTGAGGCTGTTAGACTCATGAATCTCTAACTAGAATAATCACTGTGAAAAACCATATCATGTTGCTGCTGATCTGTTTCATGTTGCTGCTGATCTGTTTCAATGTTGATGTGTTCATGCGTGCACATCTGCTCACAGACTCATGTTCATGTTTGTGCTGATGTTCAATGTTTTATGTTATGAGTGCTTAGTGTATATTTAGTTGATGTTTTTCTTAGTTCATATCTTAGATGTTATTACTGTTTTTCTTATACATTTTATTGTTGGATGTAACTGGGACCTTGTGTACATAATTTCGCTCCACCACATGTACCCCATGAGGTGCGAATGACAATAAAGAAACTCTGACTCTGACTAAGGTAGTAATTTTAAACTAGAAAATAAAAAATTGAGAATGAATCACTGAATGGGTCTGTGCCAGAACAGACTGAAGACTGGGAAGAAATGGGATTGGCACGGGTTAGATTAGGGGTTAGAATTGGTTTATGTTAGAGGACTAGTTGATGGGATTAGTTGGGGCTGTTTCCACTGCTCATACAGTTCAACACCAACGCCTCCAATGTTTCTCCGGCAGGACACAGTGTATCATTTCCATAAAACACAATGTACAAATTAGGCCTGTCACAATAAACAATAAATAAGTTAATCGCATGAGAAAGAAAAACGATCAAACTCATTTTCATTTATCGACTTTATCGTTTTGTCGTTTCTCTCTTTCTAGTGAAGACACTGGATGACAAAAGGTTAAACTCCGGTGCTCTTCACTGACCCCTACCTTTCTCTTTAAAATCCATTTGAAACATCCAAAATCGTGCTTTTGGATTGTTAAAAGCAGCTAAGCTGAGAAGCTAAGCTACGAGCTAAGCTAACAGGCCGACCTCAGGAAAAAAAAACTCGTCTTGTCAAAGCTTCAAAATTCATGGTTGAAACCTGTGCCTTCATCTAAAAAGTTGTTTTTCTCTGCAAAAAGAAGCTGACAACTTGTTTACCGTTTTTTTATTAAAAGCTTTGTGTGACAAATGCTATGCTAAACAGCTCAAACCACACAGAGCGTCTGCCATTTTGAGAACCGAGAAACAGGAACGAGAGACAGGCCATGTCATATCAAGGGGCCTCCCTCCCATTTTTCTTAAAGTGACACGCTGCTTGCTACCTCACTATCCATCCTTCAGTTAAAACCTTCTTATACTGCCATCCAGTGGTCAAAAAAGGTACCACACACAAAAATTAACCAACATTTCTTCTTAAATTTGACAATTACTGAATATTGTTAAATTTCAATCAATATTATCGTTTATCGCAATGATTTCTAAGACAATTGCCCAGCAAAATTTTTTATCGTGAGAGGCCTTATACAAATTGCAATTTACAGTTTCCAATAATTTTTTTTTTTTTTTACAATTTTGAAGAATACATAATGTAGGTTGTGTGTTTTGCTTATTATAGCATGGACAACGGAAGCGCCTGACTTTGTTCAAGGGAAACTAAAAATATCAGTCAAAACATCTGAATCGATTTTAAATTGAATCGACACGCGAGTTCACATAGTTTAAAGTTTATTAGAGTTTATTCAATATCCGTATAGAAATGTACAAAGAAGTGACTCGGGGACAATGTGTGTTTGCGTATGGAAGCATTTGTTCCACTGTATGGGAAGAGGCTTATCAATCCAGCTGCAAGAACAGCAAATAGGCCATGGAGTCTGTTGGATGGCGTGCAGAAAAACAGGGTTGATAAAGAAACCAGTAGTTTATCACAACAAGCATAAGTTCTGTTTATGTTTCAATCCCCTCCAGCCATCATTAAGAATTTTCACCATCAGATCAACTGTGTGTGCTTTTGGCAATCGGATGGTTATTGAGTGACCTGCCAGACTGAACATTGCATTCAAGCTCAATCAATCCTCTTTCATAACATCAGATCTTATTGACAGATTACAGTGCTCAAAATCCTGTGCTTAAAACTAAAAATATATTTATTTTTTTAATGTAGTCATTTTTTTCGAGACTCTTATCAGCTGGCTTTTTTCCCTCACCTCGTGAAACAGCTTTTCCAGCTTCTCCTGCAGCTCGGCAAAATAGCGGGTAGTAACCAGGCCTTTCTGGGATTTGTCCAAACAGTCTCTAACCAGCTCGACCAACTGGTGCTGGATGAAGCCCAGCACGCCGTCAGCCAACGGGAGGGAGCTGTCTGGAGAGTAGTGAGTGATAATCTCTAACAAGCGCTCCTCCATCTGAGCTGTGGCCTTCACAGAGAACAAGCACACAAACACACAGAATACTCAAAAACCAGTAATGCATACCTTTACTCTCTTCTCGCCACAAAATGTACCCGTTTATGGTTGTAAAGCATTGCAGGCGAGTCATTAAACTATTATTTTAGCACCTGTTGTGACTTTGAACATTAAGACTCAGCCTATTGTCAAAAAAAAAAAAAAAAAAAAATCTGCTGTTAAAAACACTTTGATTTAAAACCAGTTTATTTTGTGTAGTAAAGTGTTGAAATATTTTGATTGAATCTTTTTATGGCATACCTTCGGAAAGCGTTCTCTGTAGACATGGTTCATCATGACTATCTCATTATCAAAGGAGACACTTGATCGGCCGGGGCTACGAGAGAAACAAAACAATTATTATATTATTATTATTATTATTATTACTTGTCAGTTGACTGATGCCACAACCTTTTATCAATACACAACCCATGTACTGTGTCAGCTGAACTAAAAGGCTGGGATGTGGTGTGAAAGCGGTTATGTCACACAGGTCATCACTTGTAAAAACATAAGCAGTCAGTCAAGTTCTGTGCAACTAACCATACAGACCATAAACTGATTACGGGTGTGACTGAATGTGTTTATATTAGGTCAGCTTTAGTGCTGCTTCTAGATCTCGCACTGCCAACAGCAACACCGTGAGCCTGAGCTTTAATCCAGCAGCTCTCACGCTGCACTCAAAATGGATTTCACTGTCAGGCTTTAATGTTTCTCTAGAAAACATATCTTTAACAGCAGCTGAGGTTTGTCTCGGCCAAACTGTGTGAATCATCAGCACCAATCAGTTAGTCATGTACTGCAACAGCTTTCCAGTATTTAAGCCAATATATACATAAAAAAAATTTACTTAAAACATTTTGCTCGATGAAGCTTCAAACAGAACAGATGGAGGGAAAACCTATCACATGCAAACAGACTCCCTGAGCCTTTTTTTGTCATGAAAGACGCCTCTGTTACTCTGGATGGCTGCTGCCCAACACGCACTGCTGCAGCTCACTGCGGCTCTCTGGATCATCATCCCCCCACCCTCAAAAAAAAAAAAGTCAACCCACCCACCCTCAACTAGAGTTTGGCAGCTAGATCCCGGAGGCGCTCCGTTAGATAGAACGCCCACACTGCACACCACGGTGCCAGAACACGGAGCACTCGAGCCTCACACAAACAGCTCAGAGCAGAGCCGACAGACAAAAGTTGTCAAGATCACACAGCTCTGCAGTCAGATCTCCACCTGCCTGTCGACCAGCCAGCCATGCGCAGTCATTTGGAGGCCCATGCGGTGCTAAAACCTGAATCTGCTCTTGAATGTGTCTTGATCAAATTGCTGCAGAAACATCTCGACATCTAATGATGTGCAGACGCATAAATGCCCAGTTCAAACTTGTAATCACTCCTCAAATCAATGAAGTGTTGTGTTAAAGATTTTTAAATAATATATTTACACAAAACAGCCATTCCAAACAACTTTAATCAAGGTAATGTACCTGAGGCTTCGCGATCGAGGTCGTATGACCGTCGAGGGCCGTCCGTCCTCATCTGTAATGCTGTCCGTGCTGCGAAAGTGCTTGAAAAGGAAGTGCAGCTCGTCTTGTGTTGGCTGGTAGGGAAGCTGGTGAAGTCGCTCCTGGGAGGACGAGGAGGACTACGCACAAAGACACATCCATTAAAGAGAAAAAGATTTAGCTTCTACCATGATCAGTTTGAGTTTTCAGTTCGGTTTCAAGATAATTATAATGACACAACTGCATCTACCTCCACCTGAACTACACTGACTAACATAACACAATAATGAAATGCTTTTATTAGACTTTTGTGTCTTGTTTACTCGGGTGTCACTGCGAGCTGCTAGTCCAGGGGTCTGCAACCTTTACAATCAAAAGAGCCATTTTTACACCCATGTTCACTACATTAAATGTGTCTGGAGCCGCAACAACCTGCTACAATCGTGGTTATCATGGTTATCAACTGTGGTTATCAACTGTGGTTATCAACTGGTGGCCCGTGACTCACTTTAGGTTTGCTAGAGGGGGCTTTTGTGGCCAGTAGGTGTGACATTATATTGCAAAAGAAAAAAAAAAAAAA